GTGGTGCAGATCTGTGACCCTCCCTCTCCTTACGTGTATGAGGGATGAAACAATTAACAGTGTTGCCATTTAAATGATCGTCGCTGGGTGTCTGAATCATAACCCCTCACTGAGAGGAGTGGGGCAGCTGGCATAGCTATTGTTGTAAGCGCTCTGCAGAGTAAATTCTGCATCAGTTACAGTCTGTTCATATTTTAGAGCAGGGATCGGCAACCTTGGGCCCGCGGCCCGCCAGGGGACTTACCCTGGTGGGCTGTGTGCCAAAGGTTGCTGATCCCTGTTTTAGAGGGCTTCTTCACAACCAGGACAGCATTTTTTTTTAAATGAAACCTGAGATCATGGAGAGCAAGACAATCGCTTCAGAGAAGTGATGCTGAGTTGTAATTGCATTTCTGTAAAGTCCAGGCTTGATTTTACCTGTTCCCTTTTTATTGAACAAGAAACCAATGTGACTTCTTTGTTATCAGTTGAAGCTGACTTGAAACTCTCCTTAACCATACTGCTGACCAACAGGGCCGGCTCTAGGTTTTTTTTGCCGCCCCAAGCAAAAAAAAATTTGGCTGCCCCCCTGTCCCAGCCCTGGGCTCCTCACCGCACCCCCCTGCTGCCCCAGCCCTGGGCTCTCCCCCCCCCCACCCACACCCCCTGCCGCCCCAGCTCTGGGCTCCCTCATTCCTCCCCACCATTGCCCCCCACACACACCTCCTGCCGCCCCAGCCCTGGGCTCTCTCCCCCCCCAACCTGCACCCTCCTTCCGCCGCAGCCCTGGGTCACTAGTAACTCCCTCCCAGGGCGGGTCATTCAGCAGGAATTTTAGATGTGCACAGAACACAGACAGGATTGGTTCCCATATGGTTACAGAACTGCAGTAAAGTGGAACAATTTTCAGCTTGTGTGACTGGAGGATATCTGGATGCATATTAGAAGACTGTCCTACATAAATGAGGAAAAGTTGAGGTGCCTTTATTATTCTTTTGTTCCACTCTTTCTTTCTATGGGGAATTTGCCAATGCAATATCACTGTCTTCCTTTTACACAAACAAACAAACAAACAAACAAAAAAGGCAATGGCTGTTGAAAATAGCAATTCCAGTCCTAATAACCACTGGGAAGCATTTCTTGCTCAATTTTATCCTACTTTTTCTACAGCAAGTTACAGTGGATCAGTATATTTGATTTGGGAGAAATGAAGTAACAGCTGCCCAAACTGAGCTTGAGCACTCCTGAATTTTGAGGTGTTCAAATCTGGAAGGCAGGTGCTGGGGGGGGGGCTGTGGCTTTGCGGGGGAGCACGGCAGCATGTATGCAGCAGCGTGTCTGGTGCTGCGCGGTGCCAGATACGCTGGTCTGAGTGGCGCGGTAGGGTGGCTGGGGGGTTGGATGGGGCGGAGGTTCGGGGGGGCAGTCAGGGGCAGGGAGAAGGGGGGGTTAGATGGGTCAGGAGTTTGGGGGGGGCAGTCAGGGGACAGGCAGTGGCTGGATAGGCATGGGAGTCCCCGGGGTTTGTCAGGGAACAGGTAGGGGGTGGGGTCCTAGGGCGGAAGTTGGGGGGGGTCATCTCAGGAGGGGGCAATCGAGGACAAGGAGAAGGGAGGCTTAGATGGGGGGTGGGGTCCTGGGGGGCAGTTAGGGGCAGGGGTGATCAGGGGACGGGAGCAGGGGGGGTTGGATGGGTTGGGGTTTCTGTGGGGGGCAGTCGGAGGGAGTGGATGGTGGCAGGGTGGGGCTACCCTCCCTCCCTGTGGAGTGTCCTATTTTTTTAATGTTAAAATATGGTATCCCTACTCAC